TGACTTTCATGTATTGTATTTTCATACAACAAATGTAAAATAGATAGATCCTGTATACATTATCGAGGTTTTCAGCTATATTCCTACTACAGAATATTGATGAATATTGATGTCATAATCACAAAATGTAAGTACGATATGGCTGAAATATTGCCGATGTGACGTTAAATATTAACACTCACTCACTCATTAAAAGATCAAAGACCTATCTAAATATTTAATATGTCCTTTTAATCACCCTTTGTATGTGAGTACTTCATGTTTTTATAAGTGTCATTTAGTGACCTCAAAGTTGATGAATAAATAGGTTTTTATTACAATAGGACATTTTTTTCTGGAGTACTTTTTTTCCGAGGATTTTTTTTCTTTCTGACTATCACCCCACCACCCCTAGCAGAATCATGGAACAAGACATATTTACCTTATATGAGACATGATATAAATAAATTAGTCAAAGATATGCACATTTATCATATTTACCTTATATTAGACATGGTATATATAAATTAGTTAAAGATATGCTACATTTATCATATTTACCTTATATGAGGCATGATATTAATAAATTAGTTAAAGATATGCTACATTTATCATGCTTACCTTATATGCGACATGATATAAATAAATTAGTTAAAGATATTCTACATTGTATTACACAATTTCTCATGGATATGGAAAGGGTTTTGTCTTACTATGAGACATATTAAAAATATGGCTCATTAATTTAGGATACGATACACTTATACTACTTATCTTTAATTATAATGCATACAATACACTAAAATATTATAAAATACATACCATATGTATTTACTTCTACAATCTTCTAAACTACCTGTGATGTACATTTGAAGTTGTTCACATTAAAATGGATTTGTGAAAAATAGCTGTCCTTTCTTATGAAATATGGATTTTAAGGAAAAAAATCATTAACACCTTTTCTGTACATTCTGAATATATATCATCTACATATTACCAACAAGTAATGATATTGTGAACAAGTAGAGACGTGATGGGGCTCAGGTGTTGTGTTGTTTCATCAGTGTGAGGACCTCTATGGACAGAGAGCAACCAGTTACTTTTTGTGTGTCAGGTGCTTATAATGAAACAAATGATTAAATCAAGGACTGAGTGCACTAACCTGTGTTGCATCTTGTCAGGTATTACCTGTTTGAAAATAGTATATGTATGAAAATATTTTGAAACACAACACAAGGCTGTAATAAACGTCACATTTAGACATAATCTATTTCAAGAACAAATAACAAATGCTGAAGACTCAAATCCATCTTTTAAAATATCTGTCACATATATTAAGTTGTTCACATAAAATAGATTTGTGAAAAATAGCTGTTCTTTATAACTAGAGCTATTCTTATAAATGAACTACAAATCTGTATTCATAAATGTCTGCCAATCTTATTCAAACATCGTAACATGTTGAACACAATTCTTGTGTGAAAAGCTTTAGACTAGAATGAACCCTGCATAATAGCCTCACCTAGACAACAGTGTACAAAGATAATATCAAGTGTCAGACCTGATATACTGGAGAGAGGTGTGAGTCAAGGGGAATTTCCTACTCCAAGCCTATTGGGAGAGTTTTCTGGAGGGCATTGATACCATTAGATCATGTAAGATTGTACATAAGGCTTGCCACAGAAGACAACTGTAAGGTATGGGCTAGATTCTTCAAACTGCATTTCACAAGTTTTAAAAAAGTAGAGTTTATACTTATGATATTTTATTTATAAATTTTGCTTTGGCTAGATGGACATTGTGTGGTTTGATTTTCATTCCAGAAATAGAATTTAATCTTTTTCCAGATGACCAAATTAATACATAACATAATATGATTGTTCATATTTCTAAGTGAAATTTGTAATGATGAATATTTGTTATTCAAATATTTTAAACTACATTTACATCAAACATGCTTACACTGAGTTGATGGGTAAAATAACCGTTTTTTTCCGTGCCAGTGTTGTTGAATGTTTTAGTCGAAATGTGTAGAAAGAATTATGCTTGTAATGAACTAAAATTAGAAATCCCTTGGGGTTCAATATAACCACAGTTTACTGTGTTATTTAAGTAGTTTTCTGGTGTGTAGAAGTTTTAGTGAAAGATTTTAGTTTGTATTTACTGCTTGGTGTTTGAACATGAGAAAATTGTAAGGTGGGATTTTCTTTCCCCACAGTATTCTAGAAGGTAGATTTTATGCTGGCACCTTTTTAATTGTAAATAATGTTTTGGTTGGTTCACAGGTAAACTTGTAAGGTATGAATGTTTTTCATCAAGTGATGTTTCTGAAGTATTTGTGAAGTCAGAATTTATGCTGATAATATTTGGAAATATACTTAATTGGTATGTGCACAGGTACACTTGTAAGGTATGAATGTGCTTGCTCATGGAGAACTGAAAATGTTTTCCTGAAGTAAAATCACAGTGATAACTTTAAACATACTATTTTTATGTACACAGGTAAACTTGTAAAGTATGAATTTGTTTTATCAAGGATCTTTTTAGCAGTATTCTTGATGACAGAATATATGCATTTTGAAACATCCTATTGGTATGGGCACAGGTGAACTAGATTATAAAAGTCTGTACTAAAAATAATTTATAACTATGATCATGACTTAATAGATTGATTATACGAGTTATAGGAAATCTTATGTTTAAACTATCACATACAATGCCTTTTGATCTTCATACAGACATGTCGGTGGATAATATCATGGAAAAGCAATCAATATGTCATGGCATTTTGTTACTGTATATTTGACCTGGCTTTAGGTACAGAGGAAATATCAATCCTGTCTTTGGTTTCATTTTGTGTTGGTATCAGTTGGACTGACATCGAGGTATGCTGGGAATGCTTTGTTGTGCTTAATTCCTTTATCTGGGATAGGTAAGGGAATAATGACACAGCCTGGGGTACAGTGTTACGGTAATGTTGTTTTTGTTAACAGATATTACAGGTGACTTTGATCTGTGCAAATAATTTTGAAATTGAATAAGTTTTCAAGTAGTGTAACTGTATGGTCTGAATCTGTGGTTGTGGACTGGAAGTTTGGTGAATCTATAGGACATTTTTTTATCTGGCGGTATTGTAGTTACAGATCATGTGTTTCAACTAACTTCTACATTTTGTTTCGGATTGTGTCCTTCAACTATTTCCCACTCTCTGTTTTTGATTGTGTCCTTCAACTGTCTTCCACATTCTGTGACAGATTGTGTCCTTCAACTGTCTTCCACATTCTGTGCAGATTGTGTCCTTCAACTGTCTTCCACATTCTGTGACAGATTGTGTCCTTCAACTGTCTTCCACATTCTGTGCAGATTGTGTCCTTCAACTGTCTTCCACATTCTGTGCAGATTGTGTCCTTCAACTGTCTTCCACATTCTGTGACAGATTGTGTCTTTCAACTATCTTCCACATTCTTTTACAGATCATGTTGTTCAAGTAACGTCCACATTCTGTTTCAGATCATGTCGTTCAGCTAAATTCCGCATTCTGTTACAGATTGTGTCCTTCAACTATCTTCCACATTATGTTACAGATTGTGTCTTTCAACTGTCTTCCACATTCTGTGACAGATTGTGTCTTTCAACTATCTTCCACATTCTTTTACAGATCATGTTGTTCAAGTAACGTCCACATTCTGTTTCACATCATGTCGTTCAACTAAATTCCACATTCTTTTACAGATTGAGTCCATCTCCTCTTGTTCACATTAAGCTACAGATCATATCCTTAAATTGTTTTGAGACTGAATAATTTGTCAAGTAGTGTAATTGTCTGACCTCATGGTTGTAGATTGGAAGCATGGTGGATGTATAAGGAAAGGTATTAGATCTGGTTGTATTGTAATTCAGAGGATTTGATTGTTTGCTATTTTTTGTCAATTATCAAGGGTATTGATGTCAGTGTTTCTAGTGTATGTATTGTGTAGATGTGCAGGAGCCTTGGCCTTGCTCCAAGACTACTGAATGACAAGTCCATGGATGTATGGTATTTCTTTCCTTGTAACAGGTGGTCTTGATCAGAGGACAGAGTCCATGGATGTATGGTATTTCTTTCCTTGTAACAGGTGGTCTTGATCAGAGGACAGAGTCCATGGATGTATGGTATTTCTTTCCTTGTTACAGGTGGTCTTGATCAGAGGACAGAGTCCAAGGATGCTATTCTTTTCATTGGGCAACTTTGACAATGGATTATTTAAATAATCTCGAAATTATGTCATAAACTAATAATAATGTCTGTCAGATTTATGGGGTCTGAGGATCCTTTAGAAAGACGATTCCTTGCAGTTCACTAATGTTTGTTCTGAAGATTATCTTGGGAAAAATATGATTTGTGTCATGGTTGTTGTATGGGGTAGCCTAGTGGTTAAAGCATTTGCTCATTGTGATGAAGACCCTGGTTTGATTCCACACACGGGTACCATGTGTTAAACCCATTCCATCCCAGCTGTAATCCTTCTGCTCTCTTCCACATTCTGTTACAGATCGAGTTCTTCAACAAACTTCCACATTCCATCACAGCTGTTATCTTTCTGCTCTTTTCCACATTCTGTTACGGATCATGACTGATCATGACCTTCAACAAACTTCCACATTCCATCCCAGCTGTAATCCTTCTGCACTCTTCCACATTCTGTTACAGATCATGGCCTTCAACAAGCTTCCACATTCTGTTACATTTTGAGTCCTTCAACTAACTTCACATTCTGTTACAGATCATGGCCTTCAACAAGCTTCCACATTCATATACAGATTGAGTCCTTCAACTAACTTCACATTCTGTTACAGATCAAGTCATTTAAAAACTTCCACATTCATTTACAGATTGAGTCCTTCAACTATTGAACTTCACATTCTGTTACAGATCATGCCCTTCAACTAACTTCACATTCTGTTACAGATCATGTCCTTCAACTAACTTCAGTATTCTGTCCAGTTTGACTCCTTTAAGTAACTTCCACATTCTGTTACAGATTGAGTCCTTCAACTCCCTCCTGGAACAGAGACAGCTGACCCTAGAAGAGCAGGAGGAGGTGTTTGAGAACATCCGCACTGACCATGAGGTCCTCCGTAGACACTACCTCCAAGCAAAGGAGGATTACAACGTGCTTCGGGAGATCTGGTGCCTCCCTCAAAGATGCTAACTTTGACCAAGGCAAGGAACTTGAAGGAGAGCTGTTCCGACTGGGTATGAAATTTGATGAAGTTCATGCCAATGTTGAAACAAACTTGAAGGAAAAATCAGCAACCAGACAGCCATTCCAAAGCAACAGACTCGCAGAGTCAGTGGAGGATTTGGATGAAGATGAGGAACACGCAATTGACCAACTGAAAAGGAAGATGCAGGGGACACTTGCAGGAAGTGATGTTGTGCCTCCCAGGGAGGATACCGATTTTGAGAAAAAGTTGCAAAGACTTCATGATGAATACAATGCGTTAATGGATCGGTACCGACGGTTGAAACAGATGGCCAAAACTCCGGAACGTGACAAGGAAATTGATAACTTAGTCAGAGTGAGTATGTTTTGAAAGTTCTGGATTAATGTTTTTTTGCAGTGGATGATGTGTAATGGAATTGAATGGAAGCTTGTGTATCTTCAGTTATCATGAAGGAATTCATCAGGGATTTAACAAGTGCCCTTGGCAGGCAAATAGGAAAAAATTATTTTGTTCAACTTTGTTATACTAAAATATGATCGTTGGATAAGTACAGTGGGTTTGATTCTAGCGATTTTTTTATGACTATTGAAATATTTGGTTCTAATTCATTGGTCTCGACGTGGGGTCATTACTGGTGGGTGGCCAATACAGGGAAGGTTTATAACTTGACTTTTGCTGAAAACTTTGCCGTCAGTGCCAAATGGTGCCTCTATGGACGTTCAAAGGATGAGCAGCATCACGCTGCGAGGTACCAGACTGAAACATACGTATAGCTCTCCAAGCACTTGTCCTAGATGATAAAAGTCGTTTTTCTGACTTAGGTACTTCTTAAGACTGCATTGAGTTGAAATGATGTGTCTGGTTGTCTGGCCTTTTAAAGTGAACATTGCTGGCCATTTTGATCAAATATGCCATGCTGCTTGCGCATTTTTTGCTTGGATGCATTTCCTTGACCATTTTACCAAACTTGGTCCCAAATATTCTTTCATAAGATTACCATTGAAAACATTCAATGACCAATATAACATTTGCCTCTGAGTATATAACGTCCGTCTCCTATTCTCGCGGGTTTCCTATCCTCGCGGTAAACACATTTTCTGCCGAAATCGCCAATGCGTGACACTTAGCAGTTGTTTACATCACCGACTGGTAACTAGGAAGTGGCCCAAGTCTGTGAGTGATCAAAATCTTGCAGTGTCACGAATATTGGGGAGTTTATAGCAACTTGGACATATCATTACTTTTTCCCGCCCTTTCCGGCAGGATTGCTCTTACATACACTCAATAACGTTAATTCCTAGTAATACCGCGAGAATGGGAGAAGCCTCGTTTCGTCAATGGCGGATCGTATTGTTTATCACCGGACTCACGAGTGGTAATTCACCTGATGGATCTGGCAGCTGATAGATGTAGATGTTAGAGGAGAAGGCCCTTCATTTAAAAACAACATGCATTAATACGATAAGAATTGTTTGTGTTATTTTTTCAGCCGATATCCGTAAGTACCGCGAGAATAGGAAACTCCTTCTTACATCTGTTAAAATTTGTTCATTAGATGAGGCATTGCATGGCTGCCATATAGCTGGAATATTGCTGAGTGCGGCGTTAAACAACCAACCAACCAACCAACCAATGATTTTTACGAGCGATCAGTTATATTTGTTGATGTTCTGTTCATTGTTCCTGTAATTGTTCTGTTGCTTGTTCCATCTGTAACCAAGTTCCATTCATTTTTCCGTGCATTGTTTCATTCTGTATGTCCTGTATTCAGTTCATTGTTCCATAATTGTTCAGTCTAGGGCTGGGACGGGTTGGAAAAAATGGAATCGAGTACCCGCATGTACTTACCCGAATCGGAATCGAGTCGATACCCGTAAATGTAAGGAATAAAGCGCTTCTGTCAACTTTCTGAATATCCAATCACGAGTTGACAGAGATTTTTATAGAAAAACTTGAAATGATGTCAATAAGACACTGAAACTGAACATGGGCTATTTATTTTACGTCTGTCTAACCAGGGAGACTATATGTTTTGTAGAATACAGAGAGTAACACCATTACCGCTGTTACTGTAACTCGACTCCTCACTGCTCATGCTCAGATATATTACAGTCGTTAATAATAACCTCCATTAATCGGACAATGCCAATGATGCAAATGTGTGTTACGTCAATAATGAACAATTCAAAGTTATTGTCTGCCCTTGCCATTACAGAGTTCTCTCCTTTTCCGGGTACTCGATTCCTAGAAATAGGACTCGATTACAGGTGTACCCGACCCGGATTCGAGTACCCGAGTACCCGTCCCAGCCCCAGTTCAGTCATGTGTTCCATTCATTGTTTTCTATTGTTCTGTTGACTACAGAAACTGAAGCAGATTTGTGACCAAGCTCCGGACATGTTCCGTCTTGCTCCAGAGCTTGAAGAAAGGTTTGTACCTTGCATTCATCCACAAATGTCAGAGTTTCTTTGAAAAGTATTTTGAGATGAAATATCGTGCATTCCATAATCATGTCTAATTGAAATTAACATCTTGCAATATTGAAGCTGAGGATGTTGTACTGCGTGGTGAAGGGTTAGAATTGGTCTTAAGCAACCCATGCTGGTGGTAAGAGGTGACTTACCTTGATCCAATTATGTAGATCAATGCCCATGATGTCAATCACTGGATTATCTGGCCCAGACTCGACTGTCATCATTATACAGCTGGAATATTGCTCAGTGTAGCATTTAACAAACAAGCAAACAAGGAAACACAAAAATATAACCCACAGTGGATGTTTCTAAATTCCCAAACCCAGTCAGAGACTACAAAGAAAAAGGTAATAAAAAGATCTCCCAGATGTTCCTCAACTGTGCAAGGGTTCACTGTTCATGAGTTTGAATTTGACATTCTTCTTGATGTCTTTGGAATTACACTAAAGTTCAGATTCTAGTACTTTTGTTGGGTTGAGTCCCATCTGGGGTTTGAACCCCCACTCTCAGAGTCAGGCACCTAATTGCCAGCACACAAAGTCAGCAATCTTACTCGCTCAGCTGCCATGGCTTCAACAAAAACAAAAGTGTTACAAGTGGTAGTGTAGGCCACATATTTTGTTTACCCCTCTGACAAGTGTATATGTTTTGTTTAAGCTGTTACATTTGTTATATTTCTGTTATCATAGAACGGGAAATGAAAAAAGTCAAGATGAACTTGAGCGTCTCATTTCTTTCCAGATGGGAGAGGATGCAGAAGCAAGAATCTAGAAGCGCATCACGTGGGCAGTCTCCGCAGCTGGAATCAGCATCACCTGGTGCCTACTTCCTGTCGGGGGAGGAGGCGAGCAGACTGCAGAGACAAAAACAGGTCAGTATCGGGCTGCCTTGGTAAGGAGGGTACTTTTGTAGGCTTGACCGATGAGTGAGTTAAAATTTAACATTGCATCAGCTTCATTTCAGCAATGATGAGTGAGTGAGTGAGTTTAGTTTTAAGCCGCTTTTAGCAATATTCCAGCAATATCATGTCAGGGGACACCAGAAATGGGCTTCAGACATTGTACCCATGTGGGGAATCAAACCCGGATCTTCAGCGTGAAGAGTTAACGCTTTAAACACTAGGCTACTCCACCGCTCTAGAATGATGAGACCAGGTTAACACATTATTCAAGTTGAAATTGAGTGAATGTGTTTGATTTTGTGCTACTTTTAGCAATAATCCAGCTATTTGAAGGTGGGGACACTGAAATGGGCTTTACACATTGTAACCATGTGTGAAATTGAACCTGGTTTTCAGCGTGAGGAGCGAACGCTATAACCACTAGACTATCCTTCTTGCCCCTTAAGTTGAAAAGGACAAGAACCTGTCTTTGGTTAAGTCACCAAACTTGACATGACAGCAACACTATTTGGCAGTCACAACTGACACAGTTGGTGAGGAAAATCCAACACTGGACATTTATTTTTAGCAGAGTTTTCTTATGAATGTGGAAAGTGTTTTGTTGCTTTTATTCATTTGGGATTGAAGAATTGACTTGTGCTCAAATATCGCTTTGATCACAGGGAAGAAGTACACTGGATTACAGGTCAGATTCCCAGGACCGGCACCAGGAACCAGGAACCAGGCCCGGTGGCCAGGAAGGTATGTTCCATCGTCCTGTCTGTATTCGTCAAGGTGATGTTACTGCAACGACTGTTGATAATCCATTACAATGTCAGAGACTGTTTAATATAGTGTTGAGTGTCCCTGTGTGGAACAAGCCCCTGGTGTCTTCCCCATGGTGACACTGTAAGAAAGTTTAGTCCAGATAATTTCAGATTATATGAATGATGTTAATCTACAGTCCATTTGATTTCATTTGAGACCGATGAATTGCTCACTAACACAAAATCTAATAATTGCAACAAAAACAAATTTTGCACAGTCACATGAAATCGACAGACCAACTCTGATGATTTATCTCATAATTTTGGACACCCAAATAAAAAAGTTGTTTAACAAACGATCATTATTTTGTTGTCACTTTTCGGTATTTGTTACGAGGGGGGATCATTTGCTGATAGAACAGCCAGGTAGCCAACAAGCGTGTGTAGTGAAATTTCAATTTCACATGTGCAACTCGAAACCCTTGGCTGTTCTACCAGCAAGTGATTTGGTTTTCTTACGATTATTAGATTTTGTGTTAGTGAGCAATTCATCGGTCTCAAATGAAATCAAATAGACTATAATCATATTTATGGTGACGATTTTATGATTTTACGAATGCTTCAGATGACATGATTGTTGTTAACACCATCATTGTAGTGATGTTTTGATCAATTTTGATTAATTAATTGCTTTCTATGGATTGAAGTGTAAATTCATAAATCACCTGGTTATTTTTTCCAAATCTATAACTTAGTAAAATCAAATCTTACATTTTCATGGGAACAAGTACAGATTAGATCATAAATACACGCATGTAATTCAATGGTATAAATTATTTCAGAAAAGTAGTTCATTTGGTGTCAATTTTCCACCTTTTCCCATTCAGGTAGTGGAAGTAGAACAAAATATGAAAAAATGAATGGTTACCATGGCAACACATCTCGACAGTTTGTCGCCCCGAGACCGAGCATCTCCTTCATTGCCTGATAGAGGGCTTCTCACCCTCTTCACATGATCGCCGATCGCCTACACAAGCTGGACGTCATGGTCACCTAGGGATGACTACTCACCAGTCATCAGAGGGGGTCCCCCTGGGTCAGGACGCCCCTCCCTCAACATCTCACGGGACAGACTGTCGAGTGATGGGAGAGAGTCCTCGAGTAGGCGGGACGATCCAAACACATCGCTGCCTCGCCCAAGACGCCACAGTCATGATTTCAGGGACCACAAGATGAGGAAGGTATACAAAATTCTTTGACATATTTAAAGAGACACAGGCAATCAGACCTCACAAATTTGAATGTCATCTTCCAAACTGTTTGTTTATCTTTTAGCTCAGGTCATATAGACCAATCTAGGGGCTATGGGGTAGCCTAGTGGTTTAAGTGTTCGCTTGTTATGGCGAAGACCCGGGTTTGATTCCCCACATAGGTACAATGTGTGAAGACCATTTCTGGTGTCCCAGTGATATTGCTGCAATATTGTGTAAAGAGAGGCATTAAACTAAACTCACTCATTTAGATCAATCTAATCCGCATGGCAAAAGAAAGAATGCACAAGTGTTTGAATGGTCTAAACAGAAACACAAAAGAAATGTGTCAGATGTATTTGATGTGATGTATTAGAGACAGGTATGGTAGTTACATTTTGGACCCAAGTGCGCATTGTTTCAGTGACTGATTTTAGCCAAGTGGAGATCCAATAATGTAATTTGTTGATCAAAAATATTTTCACGAGCATGCTGTCATTTTCTCGACAGTATATGAAAACAGGAATTACCAAAAGACAATGGCAATGACAATGAATTACTTATTTATGAGAACACATATGCACAAATGACTTACTACCTTATCAGCTTGTTTGGTCATCCTGTTTGGTCAAGTGGACAATGTATCCAACCTTGGCCACAAAGTTTTTTTATGACTGCAATGGTTAGGCCCATGGTAGTAGTTGTAACACTGACTGACTGACTGAGTTTGGTTTTACGCCGCTTTTAGCAATATTCCAGCAATAACATGTCAAGGGACACCATAAATGGGCTTCATACATTGTACCCATGTGGAGAATCGAACCCAGGTCTTGGGCATGATGAGCAAACACTTTAACCACTAGGCTACCCCACTGCCCCCATAAGTGCTGGAAATGTTGTGCTTAGATTGTGCTTAAAGGCATGGAGATGGTGCCGTCACATCCCACTGTTGAAGATTATGGTGTCGAATCCGTCAAGGTATATATGATAGGATGGTGATATAGTATTATCAAGGATTTTCTGTTTCTGTTACTCAAGCATCCAGGGGGTGGCAGTAGGCAGAGTCTGGATGACAGCGGCATCTCGGACCAGGAACAGGGGGCACTTGCTAACCTGCCAGGCCCTGGGAAGTTCAAACAGATGATCTAAACAGAGAGGGGCTGGACGATGTGGACAGTGGATTCATAGGATCGGGTTGTTGGGTCAGATGTCACTCGGCCTTTACCTCAGCAACAGCAGCAGCAGCAACAGCAGCAGCAGTCACTGAAACTGAGACATCCTGGGGACTCGGGGAGGAGGAACAGGGCGAGGTGAAATAAACAATCTAAATCTGAATCTAAATCTACAAGGACATCAAAGTCAACATCCAAGTTCAAGTCTTAATCCACATCCAGAACCACACCGACAACCACATCCAAATCATAATCCAAATCCAGAACCACTCCCACAAACACATGTAAATCAACATTGACAACCACATCCAAATCCAAATCCAAGTCCGCAACCACAGCCACACACACAGACACAGACACAACCACAGCCACAGCCACAACCACAGCCACAGCCACAGACAGACACAGACAGACACAGATGCAGACACAGACACAGACACAACCAGACACAGCCACAGACACAGCCACAGCCACAGACACAGACACAGACACAGACACAGACACAGCCACAGCCACAACCACAGCCACAGCCACAGCCACAGACGCAGACACAGACACAGACACAACCACAGACACAGACACAGACACAACCACAGACCACAGCCACAACACCAGACACACAGACACAGACACAGACGCAGACGAAAACACAGACACAGACACAGACACAACCACAACCACACAACCACAGACACAGACACAGACACAGACACAACCAAGACACAGACACAGACACAGACACAACCACAACCACAACCAGACACAGACACAGACGCAGACGACACAGACACAGAGACGCAGACGCAGACACAGACACAGACACAGACACAGACACAGACACAGACACAGACACAACCAACCACAACCACAACCAGACACAGCCACAGACGCAGACGCAGACGCAGACGCAGACGCAGACACAGACACAACCACAGCCACAGCCACAACCACAGCCACAGACACAGACACAGACGCAGACGCAGACGCAGACACAACCACAGACACAGACACAGACACAGACACAACCACAACCAGACACAGCCACAGCCACAGCCACAGCCACAGCCACAGACACAGACACAGACACAACCACAGACAGACACAACCACAGACACAGACACAACCACAGCCACAGCCACAGACACAACCACAGCCACAGCCACAGACACAGACACAGACAGACACAACCACAGACACAGGCACAACCACATCCACAGACACAGACACAGACACAGACACAGACACAGACACAACCACAGACAGACACAACCACAGACACAGACACAACCACAGACACAGACACAACACAGACACAGACACAGACACAGACACAGACACAGACACAACCACAGACACAGACACAGACACAGACACATTGAATCCAAATTAATGTTAAGTTGGAAAACCCTATCTACATCCATTACCATGTCCTCATCCAAATACAAATAAGAAAGCTAATTCATATCCATTTTCATAACCAGATCCACAAATACTAGTATAAGTAGCCAAGTCGAAATCAATGTCCACATAAAACTCCAAATCCAAACCTTCATCAATATCTAAATCCATATGTATCTCCATATCTCCATTAATATCTAAATCTGTATCCAAATCTATATCCACATCCATATTCCGCTGTGTTTGGAATAGCTCTTTGCATCTCCACAGGGACTAATAAGGAAAATAAATTCAATGGTTACAAGATTCGACCTGGCTCATGAGGTGTCATTGAACAGAATTGTAACTCACTCTGTCAATCACCGGTTTGCCTGTGCCAGACTCGAACATGATGATATATCTGGAATTCCCTCATTCAATTGTAAATACTTAAAGTCAGTCAGTTCATTCTTCCTCTTTTCATAATTTCAGTGGTGTTAGAAGTGGTGCTGACACAAGCACATCGGACACTGGTCGCGGTCGGTCTAGGTCAACCAGAGACAGTGAAAGTGACCATAGAGACAGTAGCATGCAGAATGATAGCATGGAGGTGACAGCCAGTTTCATGGATGACCCAACAGAAACTGAGGTCAGTGAAAGTGACAGAGGTCAGAGGTCGCAGAAAAGAGAAGGTCGTGATAATCGGAATGTGGGTCGTCATGACCAAACGTCGGAAGGTTACTCAGGAGAAGGTAATTCTAGTTGCTAATTCATGAACTAAAGTGTGAATATATAAATGCCATTTTAGATCATGTTCTTTTTATATAAAATATAAATTTTGTATAATTAAAGTTTCTTGAACTGATAATAAAATTACTAATGGACTATATTTTGAATGCTGTTGAAATCTGTTTTGACAATTTTCAAAAATATTTTATGTGTATTATTAATATATTTAAATGCAGTAGTAATTGGAATCAACAGTTCCGATGTTCTGATTTCTTATATTATAAATGGTTTGAATTTCAAGACTTTTGTTGAGAATGTGATTCTTGTTACTATGACCAGAAGACACCGATGCTACGCCAAAACCTTCAACACGATTAAAAATCAGCCAAAAATCAGAAAACAAAGAATCAACATCACCATCCAAACCTCAGCGTAAATCTCGCACCTTGGCGTCAGAGGAAGAAGAGGAGATAACTCCGAGAGCCACACCAACACGAGGAATGCAAGTATCGAGATATGTCTCTTCCTCTGACATGGAGACACCAAGAAGTGTCCAAGCCAGAACGAGACAGACTGCTCCACCAAGATCAGGGGTCTCCAGGGCTTCACCTGCTGGCAGACAGCTGGATCGAACAGAAGAACATGCTGTTAAAGGGAGAGAATCCCTGCTGAAGAGTAATCTCCAGCAAAGGACAGAAGATAGAGGAGGGGGTCAGACAGAGGTCAGGAGTCAGATGCTACACGGGTGTCGTCTGCATCAGGGTAAGTATTGATAGTCTGAATAATTATTGTTATCTCCCGGAACATGTTTTGGGAGGAATTAAAATGGACTCCTCGGCCCTCTGTGCGCTTTTTTCCGAGCAGAACTTTAAAACCAATAACTATTTCTTCACCAAACTTGGCACATAGATAGATCTGGTGGTGTGCTGGTGCCTTTTGGTAGTTTTGGAATTCTGAATAAAATATTAAAATTATTTGCATTTCAATGGCAGCAATTTTGATTTTGACTGAATTTGGTGGTAGTGATCTTTTCTGAGCAGAACTTAAAAACGTTCACTATCTCTTCACCAAACATGGCATATAGATAGATCTGGTGGTGTACTGGTGCCTTTTGGTAGTTTTGGAACTCTTAATAAAATATCTTTTATGCGTTTACATGCCAGCAAGTTTGATTTTGACTGAATTTGGTGGTAGTGCTCCTTTCTGAGCAGAACTTAAAAACGCTTCAATACTCTACATCCACTTTGCTATATACACGCCAAAACATTTGTCATAATCATAAGTAGTAGACATATTCATGAAGAGTATTTTGCCATTATGGGGATATTGATGACTTTGTCTTCTTGTTAATTGTGGCATCAGGTGAGGTGAGGTCAAATTGGGTTTTACGTCATGCTTGATGATGTTTATATGATTGTTATCTAAGTTGATATTATTGTTGTTCAGATCTCGCCTACGTGCTCTACAAGATGAGGTTGAGAGGTTAAAGGAGAGAGTTGAACAGGCCGTGGAATCCCCCCCACAAGCACCTCTTCCACCTCCTCAAAGTCAGCCCGAGTACTATGACCCTTTTGATGATCCCTATGGCTTCATGAGGATGCCAAGGAGGAGAGCCAACTCCTTTTCGGGCACCAATACTCGGGAGTGGGATGAATGGTACTGGACGCTGCCCAATCAGCGGAGAAACGATGGCTCGGACATCCCTCTTGGGTATGCTGCAGCAGATGCTTATGCTGACGCGGCTCCCCACCTCAAGCTGCGGAATCTCCCTGCAGGAGTAGAATAATGGAGACGCAGAATGGAGCTTAATGAAGAAAACAGAGCAGGGAAAGAAGCCAACCCTGCAAGTGGACCTACTGAACATCCTCCTGAAGCTTTTGCAGGTCCGGGAATAGTTCTAGGTGCTCATCCTGGATTAGCATCTCAGCCAGGAGTAGCAGGTCATCCTGGAGCTCATCCCGCAGCTCATCCTGCAGCTCATCCTGCAGCTCATCCTGCAACTCAATTTGGAGCTCAGCCTGCAACTCATCCTGGTTTGAGAGCAGGAGCTATTCCTGGAGCTGTAGGTGGATCTGTAGGGGCACCTTCATCCCCCAGAGATGGGGATGGTGCTGGACTCTATGAATATTATGTTCCTTCCAGGTACAGCACACAGGAATGAGACAGCAACTAGCCAGTAAGGGATATTTCCGCACTCCCTCTGGTGCCAAAATCTACGCCAATCAACAGCAAGGTGGTCCCCATGTACCTGGCTACCACCCAGGTATTCCCCATGGACACCCCCCTCCTCAATAATTCTACGGTAACTATGGAGGGGTCATGCCAGCCGAGGTTACCAGTCTGATACTGCTAGCATGCATCCAGGAACGAACCGGCCCTTTTATACCATCCGCCGCTCTTCCAACAGACCAGTGTTTTCTATGCCAAGGTCAAGGCCAGTCATGCAATCCTATTATGAGGACTATGATTCTGTGGATGGACGGTCAGGCTATCAGACTGATCCAGGAATCGGGCTGGTTCCCAGGACGGGAGACAGAGATCGTATGTGGTTGAAGCAGCACTTTGTCCTCTCTGTGGAGGCTCCGGGAACATACACACGCTGAATATGAAGGAGGAGACAACTTGCAATATCACACCAGGGAGTTCGCCACAGAAAGGTGGGTTGGAATTACAAAATGTGTTCTCAACGCCCCAAAATGTATATTCCTTGCACTCCTTCCAATTATCTATTGATGATCAGGTGGCTAGTTTATGGATTAGATGGGCAAAATTGTTGGAGTGTATTGATATGTAGTACAAGGTTGATGGTTGTCATACATGGAGAATTTTTCTGTATATAGTTTATGTGCTGTAATGGTGTTAACGCCGATGTTGCTGGAATGTTGCGAAAAAGTGGCATAAAACTGTTAATCAGACATTGTATAAAGTCATTCAAAGGCATGTTGCATGAGAGTGCCACCATCAGGCTATGATTCAGTGGCTGCTAGGTTGTAGTTCAATTGACAAAACTCAACTCACTCACTCATTCCAAACTTAATGTCAATATGAAGGGATGCGAACATTGTGCCATGACATTTTCTTAGATGATTTTTTTTCTGTTTAGATCAAGCAGGCCTCATAGAAGGTCAAGGTCAGCATCAAGGTCAACATCAAGGTCACATCACTTCAGTCCGGAGCGGAGCAGCAGCTACAGGATTCGTGAGTTCAGGGAAACATCCAGTGATGACACAGATGAAGAAGTTTATTCACGGCGGAGGAGGTGTGGCACCAAATATTTATGTAACATAGCATTGGTTGTTCAAATTCAAAAAGATGTCTTTTAAGCACCAAATATTTAAGTAGAGCAGAAAATGGAAATGGAAAATGTCTTTTCATTGATTCATTTACTACCGTTTTTAGTACAAAATAGTTAAGTAGTGTAGAAAATGGAAATTCATGTTCTAAATATTCATGCTGCTGGAATGTTGCCTTGTTAACTATATGTTTATGGGACAGGATAATATGTGAAATTTTACAATATTGTTTTAATGAATATTTGTTTTTTGATAAAACACAGAAAATAATGAGTTTTCTGCATTTTTGGTGTCCAATTTAGATTTGGCAGCCATATTGAATACACATAAGTGATAAAGTATATAAAAAGGATACAATGAAAGAGCCGCCTCTTACAACAAGCAAGGGTTGCTGAAGACCAACTGTAACACAGATCTTCTACGCTTCTTTGGGTTTTGCGATTTGTTGACTTCATGTTTGGGATGTTGTTCAGGATACTGACCTCTGGTTTGTGTAGTCCTGGGCCCCATTCCTCAAAGCGATCGTGCGCCACGACAGTCGTAAGTCTTTGTTAAAGTATGGGAGTTACGACTGTCGTGAAGGCCACGATCGCTTTGAGGAACGGGCCCAGACCATTTCCAGGCATCCATCGTGCTGCTCAATGTGACATTACACAAGAAAAGCAACAAGTCACTAACAATGCTGATGCCATGTCCCTAAACAAATTCATTAGAGATACCCCATGGCGAGGATGTTCATAATTATTTCTTTTGTTGATTTTCCCCAAAATGTTTCTTATATTTACCTTTATTTATCTTTTTTCAGGAGCCGAAGTTTATCACGCATCGAGACGGAAAACTAGAAAATATAGAAAAGTGCATGGATCTTACAGTGACCGAGATGTGGATGTGAGTTGCCTTGTTCCTAACTGTTGGACCCAGAGTTGGACCAGGAGGATCCGGGTTAGAATTGGTCTTCAGTAACCCATGCTTGTCGTAAGAGATGACTAGCAGGATCTGGTGGTCAGGCTTGCTGACTTGGTTGACATATGTCATCATATCCAAGTTGCGTGCATCGTTGCTCATGCTGTTGATCACTGGATCGTCTGGTCCAGACTTGATTACTTACAAACTGCCGCCAAATAGATGGAATATTGCTGAGTGTGGCGTAAAGCTAAACTCACTCACTCACCTAGAGCTGTGTGTAAAATGTATGGATGTTATGATAAATGTTTGCTTTACTTAAATACTAAATGTTACCATGGAAACTGATTTCAAATTATGCTCATCAATCATAACTCATCCTGCGAGGGAAATGTACTCATGTATACATAGAATAAAGATGCAAGTGACTTTCAACAGATTAATGTTTTTAAAAAATGACTGTTGAAGCCAGTTCTTAAGAGTCAGAATGACATGTTTCTTTACACATGAAAAGATTGAAAACTGTGGATGTTTCGTATTTCCATTTATGTTTGCATCAGAATAAAGATGCAAGTGACTTTCCATAGAATTCTTTTTAGTGTTGTAACCATGGCATGTTTCTTTACACAAAAAACATTTAAACTTTAATATGGGTCCTCTTGAAGTGACATTTGCATGAGTGCAGATCCAGTTTTTATTAACTTTGTTATTTTTACCCCTTTTGGTAATAAAATCTTATTGATGAAATATGATATTTTCATGCAGTTATTAATTTTTATAGATTTTAGGATATGAATGTGTCAAGAATTAGTTCATCCGGAATTTTTTTTACAAGCAACTTCACATATTATGATTTAAGGTACCAGGTAAATGATGGTGAAAATATTTGATAATGATTTACATGTAGTGGTGATAACATTGTAATTGTTTCAGAGGGACGACTCACTGGATGTTGATCTGAACGAGTCTCTGAATCTGAGCGAGGATATTCGTGGTCTCACTCGGAGGATGCTACGATCTGTGCGTTCAGACTTACGCAGCTACAAGAGGAGAGATTTCGGCTCTTCGGAATGGTGATGCTGACAAAGGGGAATCTCCGATCAAACACACATTGATCCTGATTGCTTCTGTTTCAGCCAAACATGTATACCTCGAACCTCAATGGCAATTCTTTCACAGTGTAGTGCCTGAGGGTCAGCATCAGATATTACTGTGATATTGTTCAAAGCAGTGTGTATCATATCTCACTCTCTCATATCTGCTGAATAATGAGTCACGTGGAGGTAATGTGGCTGATTTGGGGGTCATTGTGTCCTGAAGACATGGGTCTTTGCTCTTGTTGTCAACCACTGGTTACATGGCCCAAATTTCATTTTCTTGAGGCCATGATGGAATAGGGTTGACTGTGGCAAAAGAACATTCATTCAATCTGTGCAGAGAAATAGAGCTTCCTGGGAATAAAGTCAGTCTGGTTCCTTCTTGTATAACCAAAATAACCTATCCTGATATTCTGTTGAAATAAATAACCGTGGAAAAATCTCAATCTGGATGTTTGGAAAAGGAAGAAGAGATTTTGATTCAAGTGGGAGTGTGTTTGTTTTGTTTGATAACAAAATATTTTAAAGTATCTGTGATAACCATGGTTATAAGCCTGCATAAACAGCCATTGTACCAGGTGTCGTTTTATTTAGACTTTTAAACTTCATAAGCATAATATATTCCATCCATTATGTTATACAATGCAGTATAGTTCGTCAGCATGTATGTCTTACATTACACAGCAATGAAGTCATGAAATCCAATATGGCCGTTTTGTCCACCATTTTGTATTCAGGTCTATTTCTTAGTTGACATCATATTACCATAAATCCTCCATTGTAAGATGAACCTAAGTGAAAAGAGTTGTCTAAATGTCATAATAAAAGAAAGAACTGGTAATATTTCAATTATCACACCCTCTTGTGGGTCATTTGAAGAGCTGAAGAATGTAGCTTCTAATGAAGATTTTATGATGGTAGTCATTTTGTTATTCCAGTAAATGGCTGTTTGTGTTAAACCTCTCTGCAGACAAAACTTGTAGTGAATAATATACAGGCTAGTTGTATCATGTAAAATTTACCATCCTCATTAAATACAGAGAATTTGATCCCCATTTTATCATTAATAGCTTGGAATCTATTTCTTTCATATGTTTGTTTTGAACTTGATTCTTTTGACATGAGGCTAAAAATAGCTGTCCAATCAAATTGTACTAATCGGAAATAGAATTCTTGTGCAAATATTGCAATAAAAGAGAAGGCTGATGGTTGTGTTGCTTTTAAAATCTCAAACTGAAGACATAGTAGCAAGTGTTTACCACAATAGAATAACACTGTTTTAATGAGGATGACAATTATTATAATGTATTTTGAATAATTGCCAGCAGGCTGATATTATGCCGTAATATATGATTCTTCTGTAAGTGGCGTTGGGAAACTGGTATGATGTTGAGGAACAAATGTACTTTTTAACTTGCCTTCATGTACAATTTTTTTAACAACGACCTGGCTTCTGTGGCGTGTGTTCACCTAAGCATGACCTTGTATGAGAC